GTCATGTGGACGAGACAATTATGAAGAACTCTCAATGATTCTTTTGTCAAGAAATATCCATCAAAGCATTGTATTGATAAACAGTTATGGGTTTACTATTAAACTTAATATAATAATGAAGAAAAAAACTCTTATCATTTCTGATATATTAACTAATTTAGTTTGTTTTTATATTATAAGAAACAATCATATTATCCAGGCGGAAGATATTCTAACTTAAATGTATGCCATTGTAGCTTTTTGGTTTATTGCTTTGAGAACTAATCCTTACTCTAATAGACTTTATTCTAATAAGTTAAAATCAGTAACTACTCAGCTTTCTTGATCAGAATCTGACTATGATTAGATAAGCAAAGGTGATTTCTTAACTTATTCTTTCCCCAAACAATTTGTAAGGTTCTGATCCTTTTAAAGATACACTTAAAATTGTTCGCATCTCCAAAAGCCATAAGTTAAATAACCTGTACGTATTTATCGTGGTCTTGGGTTGGCATTACATGAGATGCACTGTAAACAAAATTATTCCATGCTGTTGAAGAGCCAAGCTGCCTTGTCCTTCACCAAAATTTTCATATAAATTGATTGGGATTAGAGTAACCTCAAAAGAGACTAGATACCATTAGTAGAAGGTATTCGCGTAAAATGGCAGTTAGGTATTTATGTCACTTTGGCAAAGATTAAGAAGAAATTTTTATCAAATTTTTTGTATGAAAGTTCTTAGTCAAGTGCATAGCGAAATATCTTCAGCCCTGGGGTTGGGCTATGTTTATATAGAACAGTTGGGATACCATTAAAATGTGTTTACTGGCTTATCGGAGGGACATATATTCAATTTTAGCACTCTTCTGCTACTAACAGTGGGTGGATCTCGTATGCAAAACTTGGTCTTGTGGTCAGGAGACTTAGTAGAACGCACCTTGTCCAACATCCTCTACTATATTAGCTATCATAATTCCCAACATCAGACCGTGGACTTGGTGGATTCTCAGACCTTTCTCCGGCGTCGTATTCGGCATCATCAGTGAGTCTTTCCATTCTCCGCACCAAGTTACAAACTCACCAAAAAGACAAATGAAGCTAATCCCTCGATCAACGTTCTGCCGAAAACGGTTACACTATCACTCGTTTTTTGTCCTGGCCCATCAATCTATTCCTTACCCTCTTTTCCAACTCCCACCCTATCCCAACTTCTGACTTGTCTACATTCCACTCATCAAAATGTGTGCTTTACTTTAGCAAATTTAGTGTGGCCTTATCACACCTGCCATCCACCATGGCTTCCTCCCTCTCGATCGGCCATTCCGACTCGGGCCTCCTATTCGGACCTCGCTTATGGTCCGATTTCACACGGTTCCAGTTCGAGTGTGCATTTCACTCCAGGCGCTATTTCTCACGGCCATAGAAGAATACACACTGCCGTCTCACTAGACAGAGCGCCTAGGCTCCCCTCGCCATTCTTGCAGAATTCAGGCATTGCTTTCACGAGTCGTCTCCTTGATTAAACCCGTATTTCCTGAGCAAACAATGGACGCCTATTTCTGGTTGCATGCAGCATCTCAAGTGGATTTCTAGTACATTTTGACCATATTGCCTAATATCTGTCTACCTAGTCCTCTGACTGCCAGGCCCCCAAAGTTGTACCGGTTTCTTCGAACAGACTTCCCTCTCTGAGAACGTCTTCGCTTTATTTCTGAAATTTTCCCTCTATTTTTCCATCGCGGTCCCTTTTCCCTGATTAGCGATAGATCATTGAGCCAGGCGTCTCCTTTTGTTATTATTGCTTATTCTTATTTTCCCTGAGTTTGCTTTGGCAGTAGGAAAAGTTACCGCTAACTCGACCTTCCTCCAATCTCCTGTTTATTAGATTTTTCTCCCCATATATGTCAATGTCCTCATCAATCTCCCGCTTCCTTGTGTTTTCACCGTTCAGTTGCCCTTCGTTCTGTTGCCTCCTACTTTATCCCATGTCCAGTCTGTGTGATATGTTCCGCTAATTTTGATCTGTCGGTATTCATTTTCCTGCAGAGCCTTTGATGCCCCTTAATTCGTATGCTGATTGTTCTCCCTGCTTCGCCGCACGATATACAGTAAACTCCTGATCAATTCAAATTTTTACACTATTTAATATTGCGTTGGTAGAATTGTGGAAAATGTTGTTTTTTCCTTAATAAGCACTATAATATTGGCCGTAGATTTTGAGTTAGTTCGCAGGAAGGTAGGCATCTTCACTTTTATGAATCTTTCTTCGTCTTTATGGTTCCTTTAAAGTCCCCGTTCTGACATCGACTTTTCACGGCCTGTATGTTTCTTTGTATTACTTCGTTTAGCTGGCCGTTGCCGAGTAATATCCTAGTCATCTTGTCCAATTCTTCATCACAGAATTCCATATCCGTTAAACGTAGACTTCGAATGATCATGCTCCTCATTATCCATATCTCTTGTCTTTAATTGAGATGGGAATGGAAATTAAGTATCGCTCCGACATAAGACTTCTTTCTGACCAATTTCTTCTTGAGTGTACCATTAAAGTGAATCACTTTAGCATCCATGAAAGGTAATTGTCACCTTCCTCTACTTCGATTGTGAATTAAATTTTTTCACCAATCAGGTTTATAAACTTCAGAAAATCTTTCACTCTTTATCTTGCATGGGACCAAAATGCTAAATAATCGTCCAGGTACCGCATGAGAGCTGCTGGGTGTAGTGGTGACATCTTAAATTCTCTTTCAATTTGTTTATGTATTCGTTTGCCCAAAAGATGAGAGCAGCGACCTCCTCGGACGTCCAAATATTTGTTCATAGATATTCCCATTGAATGTGAAATGGGTTGTCCTTATTATCAAGTTGACAAGTCGTGTTAACAATTCTCTCTAGGACCTTTCTCATTCCACGATATACTCCTCACAGTCTAAGCTTTCCAGTAATACCGTTGATGCCTTTCCTCCAGAGTTGTTTCTATACATGATTTATACATCAAAACTTACCAATAACTCTGTTTCTTCAATTGCGGTGTTTTTGATTCTTTGAAAAAATGCATATGAATGTTTCACTATGTCTACTTACCTGTCATTTAATTTATTAAATTTAAAACATATGAACTTTGTCAGTTTGTGGGTTGTTCCATACTTATTGTTTATTATCAGCCATAGTGGTTCTCCACCTTTGTGTATTTTTGTTAATCCGTAGGTCAAGGGATTGACTTCAATTGTCTTATTGACGAGTAATAGTTTGGTTTCTGATCATGTCAAGATGGCGGCTAAGCGTCTAAGATTGGACCAGGTCCACTGTCTGATGTTCCAAATTATGAGATCTACCTTAGCAGGGGACTTTGGAAAAAGTGCATCCAACTAAGCCACCCTGACAACAAGACCAAGTTTCGAAAACTAGGCCAACCCACTGCTCTAAATCGAAAGTAAACTGCGACTATGCCGGGAACCACAACATCTTAGTCTTTATATATTCCATGTGCTACTAACTTGTAAATATTATTGAATCAGTACTAACCTGCATTTAAACTCCTTAAATTACTGTAATTTTTTTTCGCTTTTGGAAAAAAAACAGCAAGTACTTAATAAGCAAAATATGCCTTTTTATACGGCCAAACCTGCACCATTTGGGAAACTAAGCTCGAAACTCAAAATTGTTCAGATGTTCGTTATGCAGGATACTATATCAAGTTCATAAAAATTCCTCTTGGCTGAATATACCTTTTGCTAATAAGAGTATAGCTAGTCAGATATCTTAAGAAGGGAAGACGATTGACAAGCTAAGCGGAGTCTCAACATACTTCTTGTGTATTTTTATTCATATTTATTCCGGCAATAATTTGACTCGCTTAAGGGACTTTTGAAAGAATTCGGCGACAAATGAGCTCAGGAGCTAAGGAAAATGGTAGAATAGTTAACGCTTCTATAACTAGTTAAGAATACCTTTAAGTAATCTATTGAAATTGTTTTAAATTCGGCTTGTAATATCCAACTAGAGTGAATAAAGCCCTTAGTTCAGTACTACTAGCATTGTTGTAAGCTCACTTACGAAATGAAAGTTTTTATACCTAGACTAAATAGAATGGGAGGAATTTTATCTTCCATCTTTAATAGCCAATACAAATTTTTGTTATTTTGCTCTTTGAGAGCAACCTATTTTACCTACTGAGACAAAATACGTGCTTTATAAGCAGTTGATACTTAATGAAAGACATGTGCTCAGAAATTTCCGTAATATGAAGTCTTAATTAGGCTTCTCATAGCAAAATTCGCTATTCAAATGTGTGACATTGAGAAGTGTTAATCTTTAAAAAATTAAGCGTTCGTTTTCCTTTTTACTTGTGAAATCGTAATAATCTTCACAAATATAATTATGTAGAATCCATAAACACTTATAAATAGAGCTCGAGTGGAAAGGAAAGGTCACGCACATTTGTCTGCAACTTTGTACAAAGCTGAGATAATCGTTTGCAGAATGTACGAATAGCAGGGGTACTTAGATGCAGCTAAGGAGTAGTAGTCTCTCTTTTTATATCTAACGTTGAATATGCGATTGAGTGGCATCAGGAAACAATGATTCGTTGATTACAAGATGAGGATGCATGTGGATCTCCATGAGTTCGTCAATAAAATACCAAAATGTCTTTATTTATCATCCTTAAAGACAGGTGTAACATCATGGTGACACTTATGAGGAATTGGATGCTGTTGCTTATATGAATGATGGGAGAATTTGAAGTTGCAGATACCCGTGATGGCAATTGCATAAACTGTAGCCCTTCACTCTTCCTCCTTAAGCCAACTAAGAATGGAGCCTTTCCGGCATAGTGTAGGCATCACAGAGCTGAACTCGCTCATATTTGGCAAAACTCTGTCTATGTAAAAAGGCTTTGATTGTTAAACTTTTAGCCTACTGTTGGCTGGAATTGTTGAAAACACTGCCATTAGATGATGCGGGGTTCATCCACATATGTATATAATGAAAGACATTATGCGCCTGCGTCGAAGTCAATTTTACACAAAACTGGAAGGCTGCTCTTTAGTCATCTGCCCGTTGGGTGGGTAGAGCTCAATCAAAAGTGGATCTTGCTGAGTGAACCTAAGCGGTGTGTACGCCTTGGTGCTATCTTCGGCAGCCGACTTTCTGGAATTTTCTGCAGACATAGCAGCCATCGTCGACTGCACACCAGCATGGCTGTCGGTGTTCTCATCATTTTTAAATGTCGACTTAGTTTTGACTTGTATAACCCCAGGCCCGATTTGTGGCTCCTTTTGAGGAGAGGCTAATTTGTTGCTTGTAAACGTGGTTGCACCAGTAAATAGCTGTTTAGGTCCAGGTAGTAATTGGCTCGAATTGATACTGGTTAAGGAAGAAAGAGCCTTTTCTGACTGGTTGTCATGACTCTCCAGTACCCTGATTGGAGAATTAGGTTTGGCGAAGGTCGAAGTCCAGTCAAACGAATTTCCAGCAGTCAAAAGACCCTGATAGTGATGACCTCTGCCTCCAACCAATAGATCCTCTTTGCTTCCACAGTTCTGGCTGCGAAGGCACTCGAAATCCCTTGTCCCCTGTCGAGCAATCTTGGCGCTCAACAGCCCAGCAGGAGGCGAGTAGTTTTTTGGTGAGGATGCTCTAGACAAAGGGGTGGACGGGTGGAATGTGGAAGCTGTCTGTAGGGCTGTGCAAGTGTTTTCAGGCCAGAGGGTGGCATGTTGCAAGCATTTAAAACCTAAACAATGGTAGCATTGTATAAAGGTTTTTGTATGTGATGTCATCAGCATTTGTAAGATTCATTTGTATGTGTGCATTCAGGTAAAAATGTGATCGGGGAAAGGATTGCGATTAAAAAAAACAAATCAAATAAAAATTTATTTGCGAAATCTGTTATTAATTCAAATTTATAGTTGACAACTATTATATATACAAATTAGAAGCTAAAATAAAAGTGGTGAATAACTAAGGCAGAATCGGTTCTCGCACCCACTTGTTTGTATCATATTCCGAATAAGATCATCAGTCCAAATTACATGTGTCAATATTAAAGTCGACATATTCAAAGGCATAGGCATCACTTGATACTCGTTAAAAGTTGTCAAAATTTAAGAAGTATTGCTTGATCCAGAAGCGATATTAAAGTAAAATGCAATGGATACTGGAAGCTAGGTCTAATTGGTTGGATCAACTTTATAAACTTTACAATTTCAGTATAATTGCAAAAAATAGACTTAGTAGGAAAAGAAGAGTCGGAAATTGATTAGTAGAATGCTGGCGAGGGGAGTGGAGAAAATTCCGAGGCTATAACTGAAAATATACTAAAATATCCGTAGAAGCTGGAAGAATTAGAAGACAATTTTGTGGAAGAAGTCAGGAGGGCTGAGCCATCAAAGTGATGCTTCTGTATTTACATAATTTCCTTAAAAAGACAAGAAATCTATACTTAAATCTTAATATCCCGCACAGACAGCGAGGTTTTCGAGTCTCACAGTGACTCACGAACTACTTCTTGTACTTCGTACATGATGCCTTTTCTTGTTTACACTCTGGAGGCGGTGGTCAAATTTGGATCTTTAGCAGAGGGACTCAGTAAAGCATGCATATGTCCCATCATGTGAGCTGTGTAGTCGAGCATTCTTTAAATATTCCAAAACCTGAATATGCGATAGACACAATTATCATAATCTAAATTTAAATAGGTCAATCACAATGGATTTAGTGGGAAATGTTCCACTTCTTGAAACAGAATTCATATTTGATGTGTGAGAATTGAGACGTGAATTCAATAACTCAAATTCACCTAACTTTATGAAAAAGTAGTAATCATAAAACAGGTAAATAGATGCTCTAATAAAAATGTAAATAGTCGAATCATAAGCAGGATTAAATAGTTTCTTGTGAAAGCCGCTTGACGACCAAACAATTCGAATTTTGATAGGCAAGACTTTAAATCCAGAATGTTGGATTTCTTTGGAATTATCACTTAAGTGAATTCCAAAAGTTCCGCTCAGGTCGACTGCGAACAGAAATCTGTTTCATGACTGCGGCAATTTTTATGACAAAATAGCCTTTGCGGTGGCCAATGAAATAAAGAATATCTTCTATTAACTTCTCAGGGGGCCTTTAGGAGAGTAAATTACTATTTCATACGATGATCATTTCTCATTAAAAGTTTGGTTAAAGCAATCCATAACTTGGCATATTCGGAGTCTTTGATCCAGTCAATTTAGCAAAACCATATAATAGACTTTCATACGAAATAAAAGGTTCAATCAATGGCACTTCGTGGGATATCCTCCAAAATCAAGCTTTATATTAATAAAAAAAATAAAAAAAAGTTAATCACATGCTTTGAATCAAAATGTAGATCTACTTTGGAGGATTTAACTAGTGCCTCAATTCTTCCTGGACTCCTTATTTGGCCGGGCCACCAGTGCCTCAGCTGCCTGATCAGTACATGAGTGTTCACATTAATAAATGTAGTTCCGACTCGTTGGTGACTGAAAGTGAAGATTATCCCTTCGCAGCACTCTTTTGTGGTTGTTGCAATGAAGCCTC